TGTTGGTACTTTCTCTCTCTCGTGATTAGTTGAGAACAATAGGGGTTAAGTTGGGGATAGGTATACATTTTAGGAGGTTTGAACCAAAAAATGGCATACCTCTTGCCATATAAGTTAATATCTAATGACTAAGATAGAGTGTGGCATCCTTGTATCAAAGATGGATGATTTTATTTATTTTTTATAAGTAATATTAAGTTAAAGAATCATACTAGAGTCGGAAAAAACAAAAAAAAAAGGAAAATAAAGACCACTAAGTCGACCATCCCAAATTTTTAGTCGTACCCTCCCCAATTTTTAAGGGCCTTGGAGATATCCTATTGCATCCCCGGTGTAGTGCACGCATCTTTGGTTCCTCAAAAGTTAACTTTAAGCAACAAATTATTAGAAAATGAAAATTTTTTTTACAAGGATGCTACTTTATAATGTAGAACTATGGATGCCCTTCAAAAATCCATCGGAAAATGCAGCTTTAATGATGAAAAACCCTTTGATTGAACATCTCGACATCGAGATGTATGACTATAAAAAATAAAAAGATTTTAAGTCTCAGAAATAGTACATTTTACAACATATTATCTATACCATCCATTTTCAAGATTTTCATATGTTTATAGACCTACTTGATTTTAACCATTTTTTAAATTAAAAATTTTATAATTAGATATAAAAATAGATTTTGAGATAATTCTTATAACATTTTTCATCAAAATTATCTACCATGATAAAATTTGAAGGTGCACCTTACCTCTACACCTACGGACGGATCCGTATGGCAACTGCACCATTAAAAAAATATCATTGGATTGTATGCTATGAGACCATTTTATTTTTTTTATATAAGGAGGTCATGATCAATTTTACTCATTGGATGTGAAATCCAAGAGATGACAGAAGCTACAACATTCAAAAAATTTTGCTTTGAACTTTGTGTCATAACAATGAGACATCCCTAACTACACAATTTCAAATTTGACCTATAGGGATAATTGTGACTTCCTTATATAAAAAGTAAATAGTCCCATTATGTACATTTTCAAATATCATTGTGTGCTCATAACCCTTTACTGACTCGTAAGAGGGGTCAAAATATCTCAATTAACGCTTGAAGATTTACTTTATAAATTTCATTTCACTCGTATACATCTTCAAAAACATATTTTAAAATGCAAAAATTCCGAGTTTTGGGTAGAAAACCTGTAACAACAAGGGAGTTTTGGGTAGAAAACCCATGGGCGTTTTAGTGATTTGACATATTCTAAACAAATAGGGTCCTCCCGTCATTTGGTTAGGGCCTATTAACTGTGCCAAATTATTAAAGGTGCAGTTTGCATCCGTAGGTGTAGAGGTAAGGTGTTCCTTCAAATTTTATCATGATATATACTTTTGATGTAAAATGTTCATAGGATTATATCGAAAATTGTTTTATATCTAATTTTAAAATTTTAAATTTCAAAAATAGTTTAAATCAAGTAGATCTCTAAACATATAAAAATCTTGAAAATAGACGGTGTAGATAATATGTTGTAAAATATATTATTTCTAAGACGTAAAACTTTTTTATTTTTTATAGTCATACATCTCGATGTCGCAATGATCAACCAGGGTTTTTCAACATTAAAGCTACCTTTTCCAATGGATTTTTAAGATTTAAGAAGCATCTGTAGTTCTACATTATAGGGTAGCATCTTTATATAAACTTTTTCTAATTATTAAATCACTGCTTGTTTTCAAGCTAAAAGTTTTATTCACTTCATTTACTCTTTTTTAAAAGAAACCATTTTTCATTTTTCTTTTAAAAAAATTAATTTTCTTTTATTTTCAAATTTCTTATAAAAACTTCATTACCATCATTAATAAAAATTATTTTTTTATAAAAAAATCATTACCATTTTTTTATTTTTTATAAAAAAAATCATTACCATCGTTAGAGCCTTTTTTCAACTATAGGATATCAATATAACATATGCCTATGGAAAATTTGTGGCCCAAGTGAGCCAAACAAAGCCTCTTTCGGCGGAAGTACGAATTTTAGAGTGTTTGTGGCACAAGTGAGCCAAACAAAGCCTCCCTCCGCGCGGAAGTACGAATTTGAGAGTGTTTTTTTTAATTTGAAATTTTGGGATCCACCTAATTATAACTGAATGCTTATACAAATTTAGGTTTTGAATTTATAAATATTTAGCTTATACAAATTTAGGTTTTGAATTTATAAATATTTAGATCATTGGATAGTTCGTGTGCACTTTTGCGACGATATTTTTTGGGTAATGTTCCTATAAGATCCTCCCCACCCATGTGTGTAAAACCCAAAAGATCACCATGATGATATTTTATTTCGTATAATGATCTTATAAGATCTTCCCTAACCTATGTGTATAATACCTCAAAAGATCGTTATTAAATGTGTATAGAACCTCAAAAAATACCATTAAAATTGATACATATCTCTAAAAAAAAATCTTTACCAAATTTAATAGCTATCCGTTAAGGTTGGGGTCCTCACTACACATATGAGTGAGGTAAAGTCCTTATAGGATCATTTCTCTTTTTTCAAAGTAGAGGGGGTTAAAATTTTTTTTTTTCTTTGAGGTCGTTTGTAGGACACCCAAAATTTGAAATAAAAAAGATATTCAAAGTAAGTTATGCTCAATGGAATAAATGGATAGTATACCTCTACGGGAGTAGAAAATCTTAGTTTAAAAAGAGTCTCCGGATCGGGGAGTTCTAATTCTCGGCCCCACTTTTATATCTTATTTATTTTAATCTTGCAAACCGGTTTTCGATATGGGGAACCCATCCATTTTTTTAAACCACTCTTTTCCCTGCCAAAAATACGATTCTCAACCTATAATTCCTTCAATCATGCCACGATATCAAAGTATCTTATAAAGATAATAAAAAATTAAAAGAAAGACTAAAAAGTTACAACGATAAACCAGAAAAATAATGAAAAGAAACCCAAGGTACTATCCACTTTACCGACACCCAGAATGTACACATGACCACTGAGCCCAGAACCCAACGCCCCAGCCTTCATTGCTGGAATCCTCACCGGAAAATCAACCCACACTCGCCGGAAAGTCAAAAGGCAATGGTTTCACAGAAGCCGAGTCAGATAAATCTTCATGAACAAAACCAAAGTTCCTTAGAACTTGATTATCTGCAAAATTAAGGGCTCTTTCCATACCTTTCCAACAATTTTCACCAGAATAAATCTTATTATGATCGCCACTGCAGGGTTGGCACCCTGTAAAATGAGTGACAAATGGCCTTCTCCAACTAAACCTCCCATTTCCTGCCTCTTTCAAATATGGCTCCCTCAATTCACCGAACTTCATGGCGAGTTTTTCCGGTTTCCTACGCCGGAGAATTGGCTGAGCTTTCTCCATGTCTTCATACCTTCTCGTGATGTTTTCGTAGGTGCCAATGATCTCGACCCAATAACCTTCAAAGTAATAAGAATTTTCCAAGAAAATTTTGTCACCCCATTTATCTCTCTCAGTTAAAAGCAAATAAACCAGAGCTGATTGATCATCTGATGCAGAGAAGAGCCTATCTGATAAAACAGAGGTTTGAGTTTTTCCTGCCTCTTCATAATTGGGGCTTTGGGGTCCAAAGCTTGCCCAAACCTCCATGAAATCCATGGACCATTGACAATTTCTGATAAGAAAAATCCCAGCATTTAAGCTAGTCCAACTTCTATTTTGATAAACCAGGTGATCCCATCCATGGACTATTAGGTTATGGTCTCTGTACTTCTGTAATGGAAGCTTGAACTCCATATCTGTAAAAGCCGCATCGGAGTCGACCCAATAAACCCATTCGACCTCGGGGTGAGCCAACATGGCTGCTTTCACAGTTGGGATTTTAGACCAGAAGGTGAACATCTTCGGTTGAAAGAGAAGAGTGTTATAAAAGATGTCATAGCCATGGAGCCTGCAATAATCGACCTTATTCTTGAAAAATCTAAGTAAAAGGTGATCCCCAACTGGGTTTCTGCAGGGCTTTGCTTGAGAGCCAGTGACGAGCAACACTTTTTCCTCTGAATTTAGAGAGAGAGAGGGGTTTTGTTCCATCCATTGTCGACGATTCTGGTCCCAATTTTTTATCGGCTTCTCAACTCTGTAAGAGAGGTTTGGGTCATCATAGAACGTAGGGATTGTGGAAAACGGGTTTTGGAGCTTGGGGTGGTGACAGTCATGGGCTAATGGGGGATTAGGGTTTTGAGGCTTGACCTCAGAGAAAGAAGTGGTAGTAATGGCCGTGGGGTTACAGAGAGAGTAAATGGCATAGATGAGTAACAGAGCAGCCATGGCGCCTCCAGTGAAGATCAGCGTATCTGTTAAATGATCAGGTTTTAGGCGACACTTTCTTGCGAGCCATGGTTTACTGGTTCGAGAGGAGAGACAAAGAGGTGGTAGGTTTTGAGGTTTTGCCATGGCGGTGGCGGTGGAAGAGAGAGGAGGTGGTGAAGAGAGGGAAGGGTCTGAGGCCATTTTTAGAGAGGGGATTGTTTGCCAAATGGTGGCCTCGCTTAACAGGTGTTGTATCTGGGTTCAAGCAAACTGTCTAGAGAGAGACTAACTTCTTAAGTTGCAGAGAGCCCAGAGAGAGAAAGGACTTAACAAGTGAAAGAAAGAAAAAAATTAAATTATCAGTGAGTTGTGAATCGTGAAATAAAAAACTGAAAAATGTATTTAAAGAGTAAAGGGGCTGAAGAGTGAGGGGTGTTTAAAGAAAAAGTAACAGAAGATTGACGAGTGTGTTTATACTTTACAGTTTATAGAGAGAGAAAAGTTTCGGAGAATTAGGGTTTGATTTGTTTTGTTTTGTTTTATCGAGGAAGTTGAATAGGATGTGTTGTTTCCGGTATCCGCGATTCTGTGCGGGTTTTCGTCGGTGGAGAGTGAAAGAAAATTTAAGAGAGAGAAAGTTGAAGATAAGGTGAAAGTTTCCGTCTGCACCGATCCTTTTACCATTTTCTTGTACGTAGATGACTTTCGGTGAGGAAACAATGTGGCCTTTAATAAATGAGGTGTTTCTTTCTCGGGAAAATTACTTATCATTTTAAGTGTTTTTATAATTTCAATTTTTTTCGTTATTATTACTCTACTTATTTTATATCATTATTACAATAATTTGTCAACATTTAAAAATAAATAAATTACCTTTTTCGGATTTTTAAAAATCCGAAATTTATTTTTGTATGAACTAAATATGATTTATTTTTTCAGATTTTCAAAATTGAAATTTTTTTTTATTTTTGGATTTTTAAAATCTTAAAATTACAAAATAAAAGTTCTACAATTTTGGAGTCCGAAATGTTTTTTTATTTGAGATACTAAAGTTATGAAAATAGGGAATTTTTGGACTTTGCTAGTCTGATTTTTTTATTTTATTATTTATCTTAAAGATCCAAAATAGGGAAATTGCAAACCTTGTACTTTGAATTCTGCTTTTATTTCGAGATAAAAAATAGGGTAATTTTGAGGCTCATAGTTTATGTATACTATAAAAATATTTTAATGTAATATTTGAATGTAATAAGTGGAAATAATAATAATGCTTAAAATAATATTATATATATATATATATAATAAAAAAAAAAAAGACACTACAAAATGCATATAGGCGAAAATGAACCGTGATTTCGTATACTTTCATCACTGTCCAAAGTTCATCGCACGGTCACAATTGTTCGATAGTATTTCATTTTTTATTTTTATTTTTACAAATCTGAATGACCTAAAATTTGGAGCGTGTGTTCATAGAAATTAGGCGAATCTATGAAAAAATATCAAAAAAATAGTTTACATGAAAATAATTGACCAAAATACCCTTAAAATGTTTCAAGGGTATTTTGATCAATTTTATTTTCGTAAATTATTTTTTTATATTTTTATTAGGTGCGTCTCACTAAGATGTACACACTCTCCAAATTTCAGATCATTCCAATTTTTAGAAAAAAAATAATGAAAAATAAAATGTTACCAGACAATCGTGACAATGCGATGAACTTTGGACAGTGATGATGGTAGATGAAATCACTGTTTATTTTTACCTAAAGGACTTAGGAAGACTTTTCCTATATATATATATATATATATATAAATGATCATGTGAGCCGGTGGACTCACAAAAGACAATGAGCCCCACGGCCAAATTGAATCTGGGCCGATCTAACGATCACGGATGTCCGATAGTATTTGAATTTTACTTTTTTTTTTTTATAAGTCTAAACCATTTGAAATTTTAGGCTATGCGTTCTTTTCATCAAGCCACACCTGATAAAAATATAAAAAACATAATCCGCAAAAACAAAATAACCAAAATATCCCCTGAAACTTTTTAGGGGTATTTTGGTCAATTTATTTTAGGTAAAATATTTTTTTGATATTTTTCGAATAATCATCTATTTTTTATGAACACATGTCTAAAATTTCAAATGATTTGGATTTGTAGAAATAAATAAAAATTAAACACTATCGGACATCTGTGCTAGAGACGACATCAGCGCGAAGTTCGAATTTTGGAGGGATGCTCAAAAATGAAAATAACAAGAGTCGGAACCAATAAAGGCT